TAATTAAAGCCACAGGTCTAATGGTAGATATGTATTGCTAAGAATTAACTGGTCGTGGATACTGTCTATAGTTTACGCGAGTAGTACACATTTAAATAAAACACTTTAACGGTTTAAAACGCGATATATTAGTTAAACTTATTTGAAAATGATTTTTAACTTCGGCCCGACGTTTCGGATGCTTTGCAGCAGCCGTGGTCACAGGGATACAAGATGGAGGATGTCTGACGTCAAAGTAAAAAATTGCTAAGCTAGCGCTATCTGTTCCGCCGAAGTTGGTATTTGGCGAAACTGGCCGGGTCCTTGCAGAATTGACTAACGGTGTCTTCGCGTTTGCCGGTATGCTGTTTATTGGGATCCAGAGTTTTAATATGGGATCCCAGGTGTTTGAAAAATCAATTTCGAATAAGTTTCACTAATATATCGCGTTTTAAACCGTTAAAGTTTTATTTAAATGGTCGTGAATTCGATTCACAACAGGTCTAATATATTTCTTATTTATTTGCAATTGTTCTGAAACATGTTGGACTTCATCTGGGGAATCAGCTTATTAAATGGGTGGTAAGAAACCAGAGTTGCCAAACACAGCACAGACACTTAATTCAAGTCTAGTTTACTCACGTTTTGTTTTTCAGTCTGTGGATTTGAGAATATCCAATAATACATTAGAACGACATTTTTTTCTAATTAAGGAGGACAGACAAGCACGGTGTTTTACTCGATGGTAGGTGAAAACGCCAGCCTATCAACGTCGTTCTAATTTGACTTTGATTATTCTCGAAAATCCTGTTGAAGTGTTATGTGGCCTTATTTTACCTTCCATTAAATTACCCCCACGCCTGTCTATCCTCCTCTGTTTTATAGGAAAAGAAATAAACTGAAATAAGCGCGTTAAATTCAGTTATTTTTAAATGAGTGTAACTAGCTATCGTATAGTATTTACTAACCGTTCCCCACCGTGGAATCTATCGAGAACAAGCTTCTCGGCTTCTGGCGGTATTTTTTTGTCCGTCGACCGTTTACCGCGTCTGTGCTCCAGATATTGCCCAACATAGTCCGCCATCAACGACGCTGCAGTATTTCCCATGGATCTTGCAAATATTGGCGGCAAGTCACCATACGGATTTTTCGTTGTC